AGGACCTCCGTAATGAGATGGGGAACCTTTACGTACACTCACACCATTTTTTTAACACTCATATCCGCATTTACAAGCCTTTTAAAAAAATCTCCCATAGATTTGGCGTCGGAGCACCCGAATTTTTTTCTCAAAAAACTTAATAATGACCACTGTAATGAGTTGGGGAACCTGCAAGTATACTCAAACCATTTTTTTAATTCCCATTTCCGCATTTACAAGTCATTCTTTAAGAATCGCCCAAATTTTTCGATTTTACGTGTGTATTAGCCCATGGATCTACCTCCAGGAGAACCCAAAAATTTTTTCTCAAAAAACTTTATGTAGACCTCCTTAATGAGTTAGGAAACCTTAACGTACACTCACACCATATTTTTAACACCCATTTACGCATTTACAAACCCATTTTTAAGAATCGCCCAAATTCCCTGATTTTTCGTGTGTATTAGCTCATGGATCTGACACCCAGTGCACCCGTAATTTTTTTCTCAAAAAACTTTATGAGGACCTCTGTAATGAGTTGGGGAACCTTCACGTATACTCACACTATTTTTTTAACGCTCGTTTTTGCATTTACAAGCCTTTTTATAAGAATCGCCCAAATTTCCCGATTTTTCGTTTGTATTAGCCCATTGATCTGGCGCCCGGAGCACCCGAAATTTTTTTCTCATAAAACTTTACGAAGACCTCCGTAATGAGTTGGGGAACCTTCATGTATACTCACACCATTTTTTAACGCCCATTTCCGCATTTACAATCCCTTTTGTAAGATCGTCCAAATTCTCCGATTTTTCATGTGTATTAGCCCATAGATCTGGCGCCCAGGAGTCCCCAAATTTTTTTTCTCAAATAACTTTATGAGAATCTCCTTAATGAGTTGGGGGAACCTTTTTGTATACTCACACCATTTTTTTAACGTCCATTTCCGCATTTACAAGTCCTTTTTAAGAATCACCAAAATTCCCTGATTTTTCGTGTGTATTAGCTCATGGATCTGGCGCCCATTGCATTTTATTTTGTTTCTCCAAAATTTTTATCAGAACCTCCATAATGAGTTTGGGAACCCTTACAAACACTCACACTATTTTTTTAACATCCATTTCCGAATTTACAAGCCCTTTTCTAATAATCGTCGAAATTTCCCAATTTTTTGTGTGTATTAGCCCATGGATCTGGCACCCGGAGCACCTGATTTTTTTTTCAAAAAACTTTATGAGGACCCCCTTAATAAGTTGGGGAACCTTCACGTATAGTCACACAACTTTTTTAACTCCCATTTCTTCATTTACAAGCCCTTTTTGAAGAATCGCCCAAATTCCCCTATTTTTCGTGTGTATAAGCCCATTGATCAGACACTGTTTTTCTCAAAAAAAATTATAAGGACCTCCTAATGAGTTGGGGAACCTTCAAGTATACTCAAATCATTTTTTTCACGCCCATATTCATATTTACAAGCCCATTTTTAAGATTCGCCCAAATTCCTCGATTTTTCGTGTGTAATAGCCCATGGATCTAGCGCTCGAAAAAATTTTCGCAAAAAAAATTATGAGGACCTCCGTAATGAGTTGGGGAATATTTATGTATTCTCACACCATTTTTTAATGCCGATTTTTTGCATTTACAAGCCTTTTTTAAGAATCACCCAAATTTCTCGATTTTTCGTGTGTATTAGCTATGCAGCCGGAGCACCCGAATATGTTTTCTTAAAAAACTTTATGAGGACCTCTGCAATGAGTTCAGGAACCTTCACATATACTCACACCATTTTTTAACGCCCATTTCCGCATTTAAAAACTCTTTTTTAAGAATCGCCCAAATTTCCCGATTTTTCATGTGTATTAGCCCAAGGATCTGGTGCCCAGGAGCACACAAAATTTTTTTCTCAAAAAACTTTATGAGGACCTCCGTAATAAGTTGGAGAACCTTTACGTATAGTCACACAATATTTTTAACCCCTATTTCTGCATTTACAAGCCCTTTTTTAAGAATTACCCAAATTCCCCATTTTTTTGTGTATAAGACCACGGATCTGGCGCTCGAAACACCCAAATTTTTATTCTCAAAAAACTTTATGAGGACATCCGTAATGAGTTTGGGAACCTTTACATACACTCGCACCATTTTTTAACGTCCATTTTCGCATTTGCAAGCTCTTTTTTAAAAAATCACCAAAATTCTCCAATTTTTTGTGTGTATTAGCCCATGGATCTGGCACACGGTTCACTTTAAATTTTTTTCTTAAAAACTTTATGAGGAACCCTTAATGAGTTGGGGAACCTTTATGAATACTCACACCATTTTTTTAACGTTCATTTCCGCATTAACAAGCTCTTTTTTAAGAATCGCCCAAATTTTCCGATTTTTCGTTTGTATTAGCCCATTGATCAAGCGTTCTTTTTCTCAAAAATTTTTATGAGGACCTCCGTAATGAGTTGGGGAACCGTTACGTACCCCCACACCATTTTTAACATCCATTTTTGCATTTACAAGCCCTTTTTTAGAAATTGCCCAATTTCTCCAATTTTTCGTGTATATTAGCATATGGATCCGGCGCCCGGAGCACCCTGAATTTTTTCCCCAAAAAACTTCATGAGGACATCCTTATTGAGTTGGGAAACCTTCATGTATACTCACACTTTTTTTTAACGTCCATTTCCGAATTTACAAGCCTTTTTTTAAGAATCGCCCAAATTCCTAGATTTTTCGAGTGTATTAGCCTATGGATCTGGCACCTGGAGCACCCGAATATTTTTTCTAAAAAAGCTTTATGGGGACCTCTGTAATGAGTTGGAGAACCTTCATGTATACTCACACAATTTTTTTAACGCTTATTTCCGCATTTACAACCCTTTTTTAAAAATCGCTCAAATTCACTGATTTTTCTTGTATATTAGCCCATGGATTTGGTGCCTACAACACCCAAGAAATTTTTTTCAAAAAACTTTATGAGGACCTCCGTAATGAGTTGGGGAACTTTTACGTATACTCACACCATGTTTTAATGCATTTTTCCTTATTTACAAGTCCTTTTTGAAGAATTTCCCAAATTTCCCTATTTTTCATGTGTATTAGCCCATGAATCTGGCACCCAGAGCACACAATTTTTTTTTCTCAAAAAACCTAATGAGGACCTCCGTAATGAGTTGGGGAATCTTTATGTACATTTACACCTTTTTTTAACGCACATTTGTGCATTTTCAAGCCTTTTTTAAGAATCGCTCAAATTCCCCGACTTTTTTTGTGTATCAATGGATCTGGCGCTCGGATCACCCAAAAAAAATTTCTCAAAAAACTTTATGGGGACCTCCTTAATGAGTTGGGTAACCTTCTCGTATACTCACACCATCATTTTAATGCCCATTTCCGCATTTAGAAGCCCTTTTTTAATAATCGCCAAAATTCTCTGATTTTTTGTATGTATTAGTCCATGGATCTGACACCCGGAGCACCCGAAAGTTATTTCTAAAAAAAAATTTAGAACCTCCGTGATGAGTTGGGGAACCTTCATGTATACTTACACCATTTTTTAACGTCCATTTCAGCATTTACATGCCATTTTTAAGAATCGCCCAAATTCTTCAATTTTTCGTGTGTAAGCCCATGGATTTGGCGCCCCGTGAACCCAATTTTTTTTTCTCAAAAAATATTATGAGGACCTTCGTAATGAGTTGGGGAACCTTTACGTATACTCACATCATTTTTTTAACGCCTATTTCTACATTTACAAGCCGTTTTTTTAAGAATCTCTCAAATTCCCCAATTTTTCATGTGTATTAAGTCTATGAATCTGGCTCCTGGAGCACCTAATTTTTTTTTCTCAAAACACATGAAGACCTCCGTAATGAGTTGGGGAACCTTTACGTACACTCACATCATTTTTTTAACACTCATTTCCGCATTTACAAGCCTTTTTTTAAGAATCGCCCAAATTCTCTGATTTTTCGTGTGTATTAAGCCAATAGATCTAGCGCCCGAAACACCTGAAATGTTATGTCAAAAAACTTTATGAGGACCTCCTTGATGAGTTGGGGAACCTTCACGTATACTCACACCATTTTTTAACGTCCTTTTCCACATTTACAAGCCCCTTTTTAAGAATCGCCCAAATTCTCCAATTTTCGTGTATATTAATTAGCCCATGGATTTGGCGTCTGGAGCACTCGAAATTTTTTTCTCAAAAATTTTTATGAGGACCTCCGTAATGAGTTGGGGAACCTTTACATACACTCACACCATTTTTTTTAACAACCATTTCCGCATTTACAAGTCTTTTTTTATGAATCCCCCGAATTCCCATAATTTTTGTATGTATTTACCCATAGATCTGGCGCCATGAGCACCTAATTTTTTTTCTCAAAAAAATTTATGAGGACCTCCGTAATGAGTTGGGGAACCTTTACGTACACTCACTCATTTTCTTAACTTTCATTTCCGCATTTACAAGCCTTTTTTTAAGAATCGCCCAAATTCCCCAATTTTTCGTGTGTATTAGCCCATGGATCTGGCGCCCGGAGCATCCAAATTTTTTATCTCAAAAAACTCTATGAGGACCTCCTTAGTGAGTTGGGGAAGCTTCATGTACACTCACACCGTTTTTTTAACGCCCATTTCTGCATTTATAAGCCTTTTTCAAAAAATCGCCCAAATTCCCTGATTTTTCGTGTGCAATCACCTTTTCTCAAAACTTCTTCGGCCTATATATCTCTCCTTAAAACTCATTATAGCCAACTTATCGCACTTTTTCATTGGGGGATGCATTTGTGCATTTCTTCTTCATATATCTGAATTATCTCAATGTCACTTTTCTCATCTTATTCTCCACGAAGGTCACTCCTATTTTATTTCAAATATCTTTAATTTTAATTATCTTATTTCTTCTAGTATACTTATGCATCCACCTCAATATTCCTAACTATTGGGAATAACATACTAGTAAATAATTAAATCCAATACAAATTTTAGAATAATGTCTAGCAACGGATTGTAAATAAAGCCTGATTTATGACTATTAGTCTATGATTAAAATTTGAGAGATACTACTCATTTCAGTGCAACCTTTGATGATAGTGAAAACTAAATTGGTTCTTTTCTCCAAAACACATTTTCTATTAAACCAAAACCAAAGCTACTTGGTTTGTTCCAAGTAATTCTAATGGAGAAAAGAACAGTAACAACAATAAATAATAGGGAATAGTAAAATCAGTTTTGCCATTCAACACCTTTTGCCTCCAGTTTCCTCTTTCCCTGTAGCCGTAGGACGAGGGCAGCACCTGAAACGTGCCGTTCTGATATTAGTCATGATTTCTGTCTCTGCCGCCTCAAGCATCCTGACCACCTGAATTCGAGCAACACCAAAGTCTGCTATCTTGATTGACTTGTCAGCAGCAATCAGTAGATTGTCGGATTTCAGATCTCGGTGAATCAGATTCAGGCCATGCACATGCTCCATCCCCCTTGCCACATCCAAGACCTGCTTAACAGCTAACTTCAATGGCACAGCTCGGTTTTGCTGCCTCGTGAGGAACTGACGCACTGATCCCCCTCTTGCATATTCAGTCAAGATACACCACACCATGGCTTTACGGCATGCACCAATAAATCGTACTATATTTGGATGCTTCAAATTTGCCAACATCATGACCTCATGCTGAAATTGATGCTCCATAAAGTGAGCCTTCGCAAGATCATATTCTGGCCTCTCTAGAAGCTTGATGGCTACATCTTCACCATTATAAGTTCCCTTATAGAGTTTTCCAAAAGATCCTAGAGCAAATGCTTGTCCAATGGTAAGCCTCCTCAAGTCAATTGTCCACTCATGATAAATCTCAAGCCCAATGGTGGGGAATTGAGGATCAACCAAGGCCTGCGCAAGGGCATCATCACTCCACCTAGAAACTCTGCCCCTCACTACGCTAGCAGCAACAGAGTAGTTATTGTGGATGTGATTACCCTGATGGTTTAGAATATGAGTGTGAGAATCATTTGATCCAACACTGCTGTTATCCACCGACATTGCACCAGAACCATCAGCATTGCTCATCCCATAACCTTCAATAGACATGTTTGACCCCTCGCCAAGCTTATGATAAAAAATTTGCCACAGGTTTTGATTCAAGTCTACAAGTCCAACAAATTTTGGAGCCTCCATATTTTTTTCTGATAAAGACGCTACTACAGAAAAGCTTCAATCCGACTTATTTATTTTGCATGAAGATTTCTAAAATCAAAACCGCACCTCCACAGCTCTGCAAAACATGAAAATGGAAACGGTTAGGTTCATCAAAAATCAATTATTCTAAGTAAACTGACAAGGTCAAACGCTTGTGAAACTGAGTAACCCTGTTTCCTCTTTGTATGAATAGCCCACTCACATTTTTCTTTGATAAATCAACCTAGTATGATGATAAGCATACTAGAGGTAGGCAGCAATTCTCTAAAAAATAGAACTAATAAGATGAAGGAAAAAAACCCCAATTTCAACTTTCACCACTACAATCTCCCCATCAAACTTCCCAAGGCAAAAAAAATAATAATGCAAAATTCAAACATAGTGCAGGAAGATTAAACTTTCAGCAGAACTCCAAATTACAGAAATAAATAAAAAGGCTAAACTTGTCAAAAAAATAGATCTAAGAGGAAGAACGAGAAAAAATTACTCCAATTTCAACTCTTTTTTTAATAACTCTGCTGTCCAGGCTAGCTTGCGTGCACCTCGACAAATTCCAGGGATACCTGCCACTTCCCACCAGCAACAAGTACCAAGCAACTCTATCTACCAAGGCTAGGACAGATGGAAAGAAATCACCTAGTGTAAAACTTTAATTAAAACACAGAATATTCATAAAAATGAATGATCAAAGGCAAAATCAAGGAGAAAAAAAAAGTAAATTTACCTCGATTGTGATTATGACTCTACTTGTTTTCCGACGCCGATCAATTTTCCGACCACTAGAGCTCTGAAGAAAAATCGATGTAAAAACTAAGAGAAGTAACACGATAAAAAAAGAACACACAGAGAGAGTAATGTACGAAAAGAAAAGAATTTTCTTTAGCTAAGAGGAGAAAATCACTATAATTTTTTTTTTGGGTCTTTTTTGCATATGGTGTACTCAATCACAAGTTACATGTGTGAGTAAGAGTTTATATAGGGCCTACTTGTATTAGAATTGTTTAAGTGTTCAATAAATTTCATTTTGACACTTGAATTATGGTATATTTCAACATCTGAACACATGAAATTGTGTTTTTATTATATACTTTTAGTTCAAATTTTGAAAGAAAAAAAATTACTTTGTCAGGCAATAAATAGGAGGATAAATTTTAAAATGTTCTCTTATTATTGATTATAAATGTTCTTAATTATTTATAAGCTTAGTAAACATCAAAGAAAATACATGTGCTTGAGATTTTTCCTTTATTTTAACTCTAGTAAATCAGGCAATAAGTTCACACTACAAATGTGATTTTGAAATGTGAATGTATTTGGTTGTAGATACAAGTTAGATTTAATGATTTTTTCCACTTTGGATTTAAGGAATATAATCATAATTACCACAATAAAGCTAGATTTAATAAAATTTTCAACTTTGAATAAAAGATAATAGTAATAAATAAGAAGAAGCACAAGATCAATTTGGTGGTTGGACGAATCAAATATTGTAAGCTAAATTTAATGAATTTTTCCACTTTGAATCTAAGAAAGTAGAAATAAATAAGAATAAACATAAGACAATTTTGGTGGTTGGACGACTCAAATATTGTAAGCTAGAATTAATGAATTTTTCCACTTTGAATTTAAGGAAAATACTAATAAATAAGAAAGAAAGAAAAGGCAAATTTGGTGGTTGGACGAATCAAATATTGTATGTGATATTTAATGAATTTTTCACTCTCAATTTAAGGGAAATACTAATAAATAAGAACAACAAGGCAAATTTAGTGGATGGACGAATCAACTATCTTAAGCTAGATTTAATGAATTTTTCCACTTTGAGTTTTAGAAATTACTAATAAATAAGAAGAAAAAAACAAATAAAATTAGTGATTGGACGAATCACAGTTATATTTGAATCGGCACATCTTCCCCTTCACGAAAAACTTATATCCCACCACCCGCTTTCTTTCTCAAACTCATGATTAGAAGTGTATTTTCATAAAGTATACTTCCAAATATTCACAGGGAAAGTCTACCCTTTTCTCTCGTCTTGTATAGCTCAAGGTGTAATATAATTCGAAATGCCATTAAAGAATCAACCTCGCACGATCCCAAAGTAATTACAGTCCATAATGGAAAGCCTCTTAACCATGGCCACTCTAATATAGTCATCATAGACTTAGCATAATTAGACTATAACCTACCATAGACCCCTTTGGTATCCATAGTTGGAACTGAGTAATAACATCATTAACAAAATTTCAACTGAAAATAAGGAGAATTCACCAATTTCATGTACTCATCATAAACAGATTACTAGCACAGAAGATACTAACACATCGCCAACTAAGAATTTAGATAAAAATGGAACTCCAAAACAAGCCTAGGGATGCATAATTTTAGCTGCTTCATTACTCTTCATTGAAACAAACAATCATTTTGGAGTCTCGTTGCGAGTTAACAAGCTTATAATTTAGAACCCTTGAATTCAGAAACCAAAATAACATCAGCAGCAACATTCCCACGAAAAAAATCTAATTTTTAACCAACTTCATGTACCAACAAACAGACAAGAATTACGAAATGAAATGAATCTCTACAATGAGTCTAGATATGTGTAATTTTAGGTGCTCTTTTTATTTGCATTGAAACAAACAACTATTTTGAAGCCAATTGCAAGTTAACAAGCTCATAATTGAAATTGCTCAGATAATCAAAGATCAAAATAACATAATCAGCAAACTGACGAAAAAAACGATTTAATAACAACTATATGCATATATATATATATATATATATATAGAGAGAGAGAGAGAGAGAGTATATACACGGTCACCGATGTTGCATTCATCCTTCTCATCATGAGCCATGAATTTGGAGGTCCGTTTGACATATCGATTGTAAGCCTTGTTCGACACTGCTGTTCCTACTACCGGCTTCATCTTACTCCGTCGTCTTCTCCGGCCTAAACCCTAGCAATCACAGTGCTAAAACCACCGTCTGCGGCTAAAATCCTATAACTCTCAACGACGCCGTTAGCTTTGTGACTTCTCTTTGCATTCTAATGTATATGAACTATTATGATGGCTTTTGCACACACCTAAGTTATTTTCTTATACATTTTGACCCCTTAAATTTTATGACTGTAACATCAACAACATATTCAGTGTAATTTTATAAATAGGGTACTAAAAGGATAGAATACACACACACTAGGTAGAAATGTCATTTTCGAAATACTCAACTTAATAACATCTACAAAAGCAATTTGGAAAAAAACATACAAAAGAAAGACAACATAATAAATAAATAAATAAAAAGCATTGGATAGTATTCGAAAAACAAGGAATAGTAACAATCATCAACTAATGTGATAACTGAAGTACATGAGAATGAGAATTAACAAAAAAATATGTTTACTACATATGAACAAGGAAACATGTATGGTGTACCACATTACCACCAAACATATCTCAATTGTTTTGTTAGTTATCAAGTAACTTTATCCACTAAAGTTTCGATAAATAAGTTATCTCTTACAGAATCTTGTGCATATGGTTAATTAATAGCATGAAACATTATATCAATTTTATCATTTAATTATGGTAAAAATAAATGTTATTAAATGGATAAATATAACTACTCTCCAACCCTTGAACAACAACAATATACCCAATAAAATTCTACAAGTTGAGTCTGAAGAGGGTGGTGTTTACACAACCTTAACCCTACCTTGTGAAAGTAGAGAGGTTGTTTCGATAGACCCTCGACTTAAGTAAAGCATATTACAATAAGGTATGAAAAGAAAATACAATAGATGAGCATTTCATATATAATTCAGAACCTGATATAACTTTGAACAAATTCAGCAAATACAGCCATAATCTGACATGCATAGATGCACATCAGATATCCTGTGTTACCAACTAGTCACCATCTTAAATACACGGATTAAAGAAAAGAAACAAAATACAGCAGAGAAATGTTTAGTTTTTTCTCACAACTATAACCCTTTTTTCTGTCTGAAAAGAAATTGTGCCTGATAGATACACATGGCAGACTCAAAATCAGTTTTGCCATTCAAAATCAGTTGCCTCCAGTTTCCTCTTACCCTGTAGCCGTAGGATGAGGGGAGCACCTGAAACGTGCCCTTCTGATATTAGTCATGATTTCTGTCTCAGCCGCCTCAAGCATCTTGACCACCTGAGAGAAAGTTGGCCGATTATCGGGGTCAGAATCCCAGCAGCAGGTCATGATATCAGATAAGACAGGCAAGCAATCAATGGGGATTGTTGGACGGACGCCTTTGTTGACAACAGCAAAAGCAGCCTGCACAGCAGTCATGCTCTGGTAAGGAAGCAACCCTGTTATGAGCTCCCACAGAACAATGCCAAAACTATAAACATCAACTTTCTGGGTGTATGGCCGGTGCTGGATCATCTCCCTACAAAACAAAGTCAAACGCTTAGCGATCCACAACGAAACACAGATGCTATTGCTAACAACTTTGAACATCCATTTTTCTTTTTTCTGAAAAGAGAAGAAACCAGACACACTTGCCAATAATTCACAAAGTTAAACGGGATAGGATCTGCAGAATGTGAATAACTAATTTCTCAAGAGTAAACTTGAAAAGTAACTTCATTTCTCAGTTAATCAGAATAAAAATTTGAGCATACTAGAATTATACAAAGAGTCAGACTGGCTGCACGTATTCGAGTTTTACCAGATATTGAGATTCGATCCACACCTGTTTTGGCAAGATCTTTCATTATCACATCAAATTAACAAAAGCAAGCATATTATTTTTTGTCTATTTCCCCAAGGAAAGTCATTCATGCATACTAGCCTATTATCACACAGAGAAGACTATAAAATTACCACCACTCACCAGGTCAACCTCCTAAATCCTTTCTGATCGCAACCATTTCGAAAATATTTCAGGCAGACATGAACACATATCTTTGATCAAGTCTGAAAGAAATGTCATATTAGAAATCGAAACTTCTCCAGTTATCACATTATCTCAAGAAAACAAAAGCTTAATCTCCAACTCACTTAGCTTATAGGGAATATGCTTTCCTCTCTAACATTGTGTAAGGTACAAACCCAAACGGAAACTGATGGTGATACTTCTGTCCAGGTCAAAAGAAATAAAAAAATGCCAGTTCTATCATCAGTAATCTACACTCAACTGGATATAGCAATCAATCTCCACCAGATTGAAAGGGATTTATTTAACTCTATACCATATTCTCTAAACCAACCTGAATTGATGATCTAATTCAAGGTTTAAATTCTAACTGCCATATATGCCTGAGACACAAATAACTGAACTTCTAAGAGCACAATCCTAAGGAAAATCGTGATTTGAAATTTTTTTCTCAAAAGAGTCACTAAATATACCAACTCTTAAATAAGACTCTAAGGGGTCATTTGGTTGGGAACAAGTTATCCCATGATTAATTATCCTGAGATTAGTTATCCTGAGATTACTTATTCCACCATGTATATGGGATAACTTATCCCATCACTATGGTATAAATAGTGGGATAAGTTATCCCAAACATGGCAACCAAACAAGACACCAAAATTTAATCCCATGTTTTTTTATCCCAGGACTATTTATTTTTATCCCTCACACCAAACGACCCCTAAATACAGGAAAACCCCATGTATCAGTAGAACAATAAAGTGAGCAAAATGAAGTAATTTTCTTAGTTGTCATAATTTTTGCAGCCTCTAGGTCAAATTGTGCCAACCAAGAAGATCTTCCAATAGATGTCAATAAATTTTCAACAGTTTAACAATCAGGCGCTAATGCATGAATCAATACAACAGTCAGCCTATACATGCACCGTAATACATAAAACAAATAGTAAAATATATTCTTACATACCTAATGCATACTTCTAAAATTAATTTGGCGTTTCATAGTACATATTAACAAACTTGGCAAATCAAGCACATGTGGACACCCGTGCCACCTAAATAGATTTGATGCTTTCGTTTTTTCTATCATTCTTAGAGGTGATGAGTTTTAGTGGAGAAATCCAAAATGTTTCAAATATACTTATTCTTCCACAACTAAAATAACATGAAATCCATATTATATGGAGTATAGATGGGTAAGTTCTACAGAGTAGTGGTTAGACCGACCACGTTTTATGAGGCGGAGTGTTGGCCTATTAAGAAATCTCGAGTTCAGAAGAAGAAAATCGTTCAGATGAGGATATTGATGTGGGTGTGTGGGCATACTAAGAGTGGCAAGATTAAGAATGGAGATATTCGACACAAGGTAGGAGTGGCCTCCATGTTGGACAAGATGAGGGAAGTGAAACTAAGATGATTTGGACACGTGAGGAGGAGGAGGAGTATAGACGCCTCAGTGAGGAGGTGTGAGTTGTTGGCAAGGGAGGACGTCAAGAGAGGTAAAGTCGAGCCGAAGAAGTATTGGGAGGAAGTGATTAGACGGAGTGCATCTAGATCTTACCGAGGACATGGCATTTGATAGGAGAGTATAGAGGTCGTGTATTAGGGTAAATGGTTAGTTGGTAATTGAGCATTCTCTTGCTTCTTTGCGAGATAGGCTTTCACTGGTATTCTTATCAGTAGTATTAGCACTACTCTTGAAGTTTTTTGTGTGTCGATTATTGCATTATTTCACTTGTTTGTTATGTAACACTTGCCATTTTACATAAATGTGTCATTGTGATTGCTCCGAATATTTGTATTCCCTTTTGCAAACTGTTTGGCAGTTTTATTTAAAGTTGAGGGTCTTTCAGAACAAACCTTTTTATCTCAACAAGTTAAGGGTAACATTTGCATACACTCTACTCTCCCCAAACCCCACATGTGGGATTGCACCGAGTATGTTGTTGCTGCTATTGAACAAGGGCGGACCTAAAGTATCATGTGTAGGTTTTGTGGAATCCAGTCAATTAAATATATAAAACTATTTGTTGGGATCTACTAACAAAGTAAGCTCTTGGTCCAGCGGCATAAATGGGAACTTGCTTGAGCTTTATTGCCCTCCTCATTGAAGGCTCGATTCCCCTTGGGCACATATAATAATTTACTTTTTGAACTTGATATCATTGGGAACCGATTAACTTTAAATCCTAAATCTTCTTGTCTGGACTCGTCCTTGAGTATGAATTTTATCAGATGTAAGTATCATTATAGGTACGTGCATTTTTTTGTAAATTATTTGTGTATTTTGAAGAGTACGCGCAACCATGACACACCCATTTTAACATGTATGTAATGCAAAGGACCGATACAACATAGTATGTGAGGCACTAAAAGTTAGATGTCAGAAATACTAAGTCATAATCGGCCTGACGTAGGATCTCCGTAATTTAACAAGTTATACTAATTGATTGATCATTATGAGGTTTTCATGCTCTTTTTGTTTCTAAAAGATCTACTTCAACTTATATAAGGCATTTGTCAAATCAGGTCTAGCAACACGTGTTGTAAGACTTAATACCAAATAAGGCATTCTTATCATTCTTCTTACTGGGCATTGATTTCATCATGTGTCACAACATCTCTCCCACATTATTATTCAAAGCCATCGCTTAAAGCAATTTGAAGAATGGGATTACTTCTTGAAGCCTTGCACTGCTTTAAACAATGACGTGCGAAATGATCCTAACGAGAAAGGATCTACTTTTTTGAATCTCGACTTTGAAGAGCAAGATCAATATCAATATTAAGTAAACTAGATGCAAAAACCATTTATTTTATTTGCATCTTTATTGTACTAAATCCTTTTATGTTCGGCATTACTTACTTCTTATAGCCATTGTGCTTCACTTCTCGCTATTTGCTTCAAACTCCATGGACTTTGTCGCTTTTTGTGTTTCTCGCTTCTAATAACAGTACTCTCAATAATTAGAGGTTTCAACAAATGTTTCAAGTTCATGAGAAGATTACTAAATTTCTTTGTGGATAGTACTTCATTATACTTTTCCATAACTTGTATGCTTCACTCCAAGCTTTTTACTCCATGGATCGTTTTTTGCTTTTAATATGAGAAGATTAAGCCATGTATTCCACTTCTACCTTTCCATAGAGATTGAAATAGTCTTATGGACGGAACAAGTCCATGTAGCAACTCAATGCAGAATCCACATAATCGTTGTAGATTATAGAAACATCACCTTGTCGCTTTTTATGCTTTTAAAGAGGCCTCTTCCTAAAGAATAGTGAAGGTTCCAATAAATGATTTAGATTCATTGAAGATTGAACCAAATATTCCACTTCTACCTTTCTGTAGAGATTGTCTAATGATGAAAAAAGTCTATGTAGTAACTCAGCGGAGAATCATATTATCGTTGTAGAGTCTAGTTTCTGTAAGGCCCTCCTAGAATTCCTTCCAAAAACATCAGAATAGATATGTCAGTTACCCTTTGGGGTGGCCTAGTGGTTTGAGCTTGGGACTTCCATTTTGGAGGTCTCAAGTTCAAAACCCCTTACCAGCAAAAGCAAGGGGTTTGTCTTCTGGGTCAAGCTCGTCGCACCGAGCTTGCCTTGTGCAGGTTACCTCTCTTCCGAATTTTGTGAGTTATTGCATAGGAGCGGGGGTTTTACCGTGTACACACCCAATGGATAGCAGCTGCGGGTTTCCTTTGTCATAAAAAAAAATCGATGTTTTGTTTTGCCATCCTCCAACAGAGCAATGACTTCCACCTGCACAACTTAAAATCTACCTGCAGATTCCAGAGACACTAGTGTATGTCCAATTAAATTGTCCTAAACAGGCCTCCTTTAACTGATTCATTTCAGTGCTTTGAGAAAGTTAACAAGAGCCCTGCAGATTCCAGAGACACCAGTGTATGTCCAAATAACATGTCCTAAACAATCCTTCTTTAACTGATTCATTTCAGTGCTTTGAGAAAGTTAGCACGAGCCAAGCAAACAGGAATGCTGTTCAACTACTAACAACTTAAAAACTTTCATTCGGCAACCAACTTCCACTCTAAACAAGAAATGTTTCTGGTAGACATGTCATTCCCTTGCTCTTTTTAAGTTTCTCCAGCAGCAACAAACAATGCGACTCTTGTGGATGTATGTCATCCTATAAAGAGAGAGATCTCTGGTGAATCGCACCTCCCCATTCTCTTTCTTACCCATACATTATTTCCAAAATAGCCTCACTGCTTTGAAGAAAGAGGTGATGCTAAAGATGATGCTGGAAGGTCGACACTCACAAAGGAGAGAAAGAGATAATATACTTCCCATAGAACTTTCATCTACATATTCAATAAGAATAGAATTGTGGTTCATATCTCTCAGACACATCCTGAAAGTGAACCCAGTGTGGTAGTTAATATCCTAGACCCATTTTCAGATATATGCAATTTTACTCTTTCTGAAAATGGTATCCAATCCAACTTGCATGCATCTCGATTTCGGGTAACTATACCCACAAAGGTTTAAGGTTTAGGCATATGGGAAGAGAACACTTGGTGTTTTCTGTCTCTGGGATGATTGAACCCTAATCTCCAAAGGTTTGCTCCTACTTCATTGACAACTAAGTGACACCCTTGAGTGTGTCTAACTTGAATCAAGTTACAAGTCATGGACAAGAAGGAAAAGGAAAAGGAGGGAAAGGAATTGAAAGAGAAAGTAAAGTCAATCAACTCTTTATCCTTCATTAACAGGTACAGAACTAAATTAAGAAGTTAACTGGAAGAAACACTAGGTATACAATAGAAAATACAATCACAATCAGTGAGGTGGCATCAAAAGGACATACAGGACTTGAACCCATCAACCACCATGCTCTTCACTTCAGTTCTAATAAAATTTATTCCATAAAGGGAATTCAGCATGCTACAACAACAACATACCCTGTGAAATCCCACTCAGTGGGGTCTGGGGTGGGTAGAGAGAAAGCAGACCTTAGCCTGCCCTCGTGGAAGAAGAGAGGTTGTTTCCGTAAGATGCTTGGCTAAAGAAACACATATCAAAGCAATTTTGAAAAAAAATTACAGAAAGTAATGCAGACAGAGAAAAAATAGCCCACAAGAATAGGATAAAAAGCTTAAGAGCTCTATTATACAGTTTGGCAATAAACTCAAACTGGATCAAGACACCAGATTTGACAAGGCTGCTAAAGAGTCTAGATGCTTACGGAGCCATCCAGCGGTAAGTGCCAGTTTCTGGTGTCATTCCTTCAGTCAGCACCTCAATTCGAGCAACACCAAAGTCTGCAATCTTGATTGACTTGTCAGCAGCAATCAGTAGATTGTCGGATTTCAGATCTCGGTGAATCAGATTCCGGCCATGCACATACTCCATCCCCCTTGCCACATCCAAGGCCTGCATAACTGCTAACCTCAATGGCACAGCTCGGTTTTGCCGCCTCGTGAGGAACTGACGCACTGATCCCCCTCTGGCATATTCAGTCACAATACACCACACCATGGGTTTACGGCATGCACCAATAAATCGTACTACATTTGGATGCTTCAAATTTGCCAACATTTTGACCTCATGATGAAATTGCAGCTCCATAAAGTGAGCCTTCTCAAGATCATGTTCTGGCCTCTCTAGAAGCTTGATGGCAACATCTTCACCATTATAAGTTCCCTTATAGAGTTTCCCAAAAGATCCTTGAGCAAATGCTTGTCCAATGGTAAGCCTCCTCAAGTCAATTGTCCACTCATGATAAATCGCAAGCCCAATAGTGGGGAATTGAGGATCAACCAAGGCTTGAGCAAGGGCATCATCGCTCAACCTAGTAACTCTCCCCCTGACTACGCTAGCAGCAACAGAATCGTTATTGTGGATGTGATTACCCTGCTGGTTTAGAATATGAGTGTGTGAATCATTTGATCCAACACTGCTGTTATCCACCGACATTGCACCAGAACCACCAGCATTGCTCATTCCATAACCTTCAATAGACATGTTTGACCCCTCACCAAGCTTATGATAAAAATTTTGCGACAGGTTTTGATTCAAGTCTACAAGTCCAACAAATTTTGGAGCCTCAATATTTTTTCTGATAAAGCAGCTACAACAGAAAAGCTTCAATCCAACTTATTTATTGTGCATAAAGATTTCTAAAATCAAGCCGCACCTCCACAGCCCTGCAAAACATAAAAATGGAAATGGTTAGGTTCATCAAAAATCAATTCTTCTATGTAGACTGACAAGGTCAAACGCTTGTGAAAGTGAGTAACCCTGTTTCCTCTTTGATGACTAACCCACTCAGATTTTTCTTTGATAAATCAACCTAGTATGATGATAAGCATACTAGAGGTAGGCAGCAATTATCTCAAAATAGAACTAATATGAAGAAGGAAAAAAATTCCAATTTCAACTTTCACCACTACAATTTTCTTCCAATTATAGGGGGTTTCCTAAGAAGAAAAAAACAACGGCATTTTTATCTCCAGATCAAACTTCCCAAGGCAAAAAAAAAAAATCCAAAATTCAAACATAGTGCAGGAAGATAAAACTTTCAGCAGAACTCCAAATTATAGAAATAAAGAAAAAGGCTAAACTTGTCAAAAAAAATAGATCTAAAAGGACGTCCGAGAAAAAATTACACCTATTTCAAATCTTCTTTTAATAAGAGTGGTGTACAGGCTTAGCTTGCGTGCATCTCGACTAATTCCAGGGGGTACCTGTCACTTCTCACCGGCAACAAGTACCAAGCAACTCTATCTAACAAGGGTAGGACAAATGGAAAGAAATCACCTAGTGTTAAACTTTAATTGAAACATAGCATATTCATAAAAATGAACGATCAAAGGCAAAATCAAAGAGAAAAAAGTAAATTTACCTCGATTTGAATTGCGTACAGAAAGAAAATGAACAACTTCTATTCTCGGAACTGAGGTATATGAAGAATGTGATGACTCTACGTGTTTTCTGATGCCGATTAATTTTCCGACCACTGGAGCTCTGAAGAAAAATTGAAGTAAAAACTAAGAGAAGTGAACACGAGAAAAAAAGAACACACAAAGAGAGTAATGTATGAAAAGTAAAGAATTATTTTTAGCTAAAAGAAGAGAAAATCTCTATTTATTTATTTTTGTCTTTTTTTGCATATGGTGTACTCAATCACAAGTTACATGTGAGAGTAAGAGTTTATGTGGGGCCTACTTGTATTAGAATTGTTTTAAGTGTTCAATAAATTTCATTTTGACACTTGAATTATGGTTTATTTCAATTGAACATCTGAACACATGAAATAGTGTTTTTATTATATACTTTCAGTTCAAATTTTGAAAGAAAAAAAAATTACTTTGTCAAGCAATAAATAGGAGGATAAATTTTAAAATGTTCTCCTATTATTGATTATAAATGTTCTTAATTATTTAAAAGCTTAGTAAACATCAAACGAAATACATGTGCTTGAGATTTTCCTTTATTTTAACTCTAGTTAATCAGGTAATAAGTTCACACCAAAAATGTGAATTTGGAGTGTGGATAAAATTCACACTACAAATGTGACTTTGAAATGTGAATGTATTTGGTTGTAGATACAAGTTAGATTTAATGATTTTTTCCACTTTGGATTGAAGGAATATAATCATAATTACCACAATAAAGCTAGTTTTAATAAATTTTTCCACTTTAAATTAAAAGCAGTAGGAATAAATAAGAAGAAACACAAGACAAATTCGGTGGTTGGACGAATCAAATATTGTAAGCTAGATTTAATGAATTTTTCCACATTGAATTTAAGAAATTAGTAATAAATAAGAAGGAACGTAAAACAAATTTGATGGTTGGACGAATCAAATATTGTAAGCTAGAATTAATGAATTTTTCCACTTCAAATTTAAGGAAAAAAAACAAGGCAAATTTGGTGGTTGGACGAGTCAAATATCATAAGTTATATTTAATGATTTTTTCCACTTTGAATTTAAGGAAAATACTAATAAATAAGAAGAACAACAAGGCAAATTTGATGTTGGACAAATCAAATATCCTAAGCAAGGTTTAATGAATGTTTCCACTTTGAGTTTTAGAAATTACTAATAAATAAGAAGAACAACAAGGCAAATTTGATGTTGGACAAATCAAATATCCTAAGCAAGGTTTAATGAATGTTTCCACTTTGAGTTTTAGAAATTACTAATAAATAAGAAGAAAAAATAAATAAACAAAATTAGTGGTTGGATGAATCACATTTATATTTGAATCTGCACATCTTTCCCTTCCCTAGAAACTTATAGCCCACCACTCTCCTTCTTTCTCAAACTCATGACTAGAAGTGTATTTCATATATCATACTTCCAAATATTCAAGGTGTAAATATATAATTCAAAATGCCATTAAAGAATCAACCACAACACGACCCCAAAGTAATTACAGTCCATAATGGAAAGCCTCTTAACCAGTGCCACTCTAATTTAGTCTTCATACGCTTTGCATAATTAGACTATAACCTACCGTAGACCCCTTTTATATCCATAGTTGAGACTGGGTAATAACATTATTAACAAAACTTCAACTGAAAATAAGGAAAATTCACCAATTTCATGTACTCATCATAAACAGATTACAAGCACAGAAGATAGGAACACATCGCCAACTAAGAATTTAGATAAAAATGGAACTCCACAACGAGTCTAGGGATGCATAATTTTAGTTGCTTCTTTATTCTTCATTGACAGAAACAACCATTTTGGAGTAATATTACTAGTTTACAAGCTCATGATTTTGGTTGCTTCCTTATTCCTCATTGAAAGAAACAACCATTTTGGAGTCATATTACTAGTTTACAAGCTCATAATTTAGAACCCTTGAATTCAGAAACCAAAATAACATCAGCAGCAACATTTCCATGAAAAAAATCTAATTTTTAACCAACTTCATGAAATGAATCTCTACAATAAGTCTAGATATCTGTAATTTTAGGTGCTTTTTTAATTTGCATTGAAACAAACAACTATTTTGAAGCCAATTGCAAGTTAACAACCTCATAATTAAAATTGCTCAGATAATCAAAGACCAAAATAACATAATCAGAAAACTGACGAAAAAAACGATTAAATAACAACTATATAATATATATACAGAGAGAAAGAGAGTATTTACGCGGTCACCGATGTTGCATTCATCCTTCTCATACTGAGCCATGAAATTAGAGGTCCGTTCGACACTGCTGTTCTTACTACCGGCTTCATCTTACTCCGTCGTCTTCTACGGCCTAAACCCTAGGAATCGCCGTGCTAAACCACCGTTTAAGGCCAAAAGCCTATCACTTTCAACGACGTCGTTAGCTTTTCGACTTCTCTTTGCATTCAAATGTATATGAATTATATGATGGCTTTTGCACCCACCTAAGTTATTTTCTTATACATTTTGATCCCTTAAATTTTATGACGATACCATCAACAACATATTTCGCATAATCTTATAAATGGGATCCGAAATGGTAAAATACAAGCACACCAAATAGAAAGGTCATTTTCGAAAGACCTTCGACTCAATACGCATACTAAAGCAATTTGGGGTCCAAAAAGGGCAGAATATACACACACCAGTTAGAAAGGTCACTTTCAAAAGACCCTCGACTCAAACAACACATATTAAAGCAGTTTGATTAAGAAAACATATACAAAAGTAAAGAGGACATAATAAATAAATAAATAAAAAGAAGCATTGCATAGTATTTGAAAAACAAGGAATAGTAACAACAGTCAAATAATGTGATAGTTGAAGTGCATGAGACAACGGAATTAACAAAAATAATGCTACTGCCAATGAACGAGGAAACAGATATGGTGCACCAAATTACCACCAAGCTTATTCTATAAGAAAGTGAGATGACACTCAACTACCTACTAACATTTTACTACCCTAATATCTATGATCTTCATAACTTCGTTTCTAAGATCATGTCCTCTATAAGCTAAAAATGCATTTTGTCCTATCTATAATCACTTCTCCCCCGATCAATGGTGTGTGTATTTGCACATCTTCTCTTCATATGTTTGAACTATCTTAATCTCACTTCTTGTCTATCATAAAAAACCACTCATACTTTTTTCAAATATCTACATTCCTAATTTTATCTTTCCGAATTTACCGTCTAATCATATCAGCATTACACTAAAATAATGGATCCTTGCCATGACGTATGGAACTAGAAAACCCCAAAACAGATAACAGTGGGTTTGTAAATAAAGCCTAATTCATGATCACTAATCTATGTGTTCTATCAAATTTGTACGTACCTCAAATGTTTTATTAGTTATCTACTATCTTCGATGAGTATAATATCAAGTAAAAATACATATTTTCCAAGCCTTCAACATCAACATCAACACCAACAACATACCCAGTGAAATTCCACAAGTGGAGTCAGAAAGAGCGTGATGTGTATAAAGTCTTATCCTACCTTGTGAAAGTAGAGAGACTTTCTCCGATAGACCCTCAGCTTAAGCAAACCATATCACAAAAGACAAGAAAATACACTAACAGGATAATGAAGAAAAGAACAGTAGCAACAATAAGTAATAAGATAACTGAAGCAAAGAAAATAATAAATAATAGTAAAATCAAAGGATGGGGAAGTAGGATAACTTTCCAACCCTTGTAATGGTAAAATAGTCATTGTCATAGAATTTCAAATACCACAAGTGGAACTCCCCAAATAGTGACCTCAAAATCAAAACAATACAATCTGAAAAGCTACCATACTTCAATACAGAAAATTCTGCAAATTTGCACACTTACCAGAGGCTTAGATGTGCCATACTTCTCTGGAGGCAATTTGTATTTCTCCTGTACCTATATGTCTGCTGCACTGATACAACTATCAGAGTATAACACAAAAAAACGAGGCTGCGGGAATAGATGAGCATTTCATATAATTCAGAACCTGATATAACTTTGAACAAATTCAGCAAACACAGAGCCAAAATCTGACATGCATAGATGCACATCAGATATCCTGTATTAACAACTAGTCGTTGTCTTAAATCCAGAGTTTAAAGAAAAGAAACAAAATACAACAGAGAAATGTTTAGTTTTTTCTCATAACTATAACCCTTTTTCTATCTGAAAAGAAATTGTGCCTGATAGATACACATGGCAGACTCAAAATCAGTTTTGCCATTCAACATTTTTTTGCCTCCAGTTTCCTCTTTCCCGAATCAACCTGTAGCCGTAGGATGAATGCAGCACCTGAAACGTGCCTTTCTGATATTAGTCATGATTTCTGTCTCAGCTGCCTCAAGCATCTTGACCACCTGAGAGAAAGTTGGCCTATTATCGGGGTCAGAATCCCAGCAGCAGGTCATGATATCAGATAAGACAGGCAAACAATCAATGGGGATTGTTGGACGGACGCCTTTGTTGACAACAGCAAAAGCAGCCTGCACAGCAGTCATGTTCTGGAAAGGAAGCAACCCAGTTATGAGCTCCCACAGAACAATGCCAAAACTATAAACATCAACTTTCTGGGTGTATGACCGGTGCTGGATCATCTCCCTACAAAACAAAGTCAAACACTTAGCGGTCCACAACGAAACACAGATGCTAACAACTTTGAACATCGTTTTTCTTTTACTGAAAAGAGAAGAAACCAGACACACTAGCCAAAAAATTCACAATGTTAAACAAGATAGGATCTGCAGAATGTGAATAACTAATTTCTCAAGAGTGAACTTGAAAAGTAACTTCATTTCTCAGTCAATCAGAATCAAATGTCAGAGACTGGCTGCACGTATACGAGTTTTACCAGATATTGAGATCCGATCCCCACCTGTTTTGGCAAAGATCGCTCAATATCATTTTCTTTTTGGCAAGATCATTCATTATCACATCAAATTAACAAATGCAAGCAGATTCTTCTGTCTATTACGCCAAGGAAAGTCTAGCATGCATACTAGCCTATTATCACACAGAGAAGAACTATATTGCACTGCTACATCATCCACCATCGCAGGGATGTGGTGTTTCACGACTGCACTAGGTCACCAAAATTATCACCACTCACAAGGTCAACCTCCTAAATCCTTTCTGATCGCAAGCATTTCAACAATATTTCAGGCAGACATGAAAACTTACTTTGATTCAAGTCTGAAAGAAATGTCCTAATAGAAATGGAAACTTCTCAGTTTGTCACATTATCTCAAGAAATCAAAAGCTTAATCTCCAACTCTCTTAGCTTATAAAGAATATACTTTCGTCTCCAACATTATGTAAGGAGCAAAACTAAACAGAAACTAATGGTGATACTTCTGTCCGGGACAAAGGAAATCAAGAAATGCCAGTTCTATCATCAGTAATCCATACTCATAAACTGGATAAAGCAATCAATCTATACCATATTCTCTCTCTCATCCTGAAATGGTGATCTAATTCAAGGTTTAAATTCTAACTGCCATATATGCCTGAGAAACAAATAACTGAACTTCCAAGAGCAGAATCCTAAAGACTCCAGGAAAATCATGATAAGAAAAAATTTCTCGAAAGATTCACTAAATATACCCATTCTTAAATAAGACTCTAAATACAGGAAAACCCCATGTATCAATGGAACAATAAACTAAGCAAATTGAAGTATAATTATCTTCGTTGTCATTATTTTGCACCTTCTATGTCAGATTGAGCCAACCAAGGAGATCTTCTGATAGATATCAATAAAACAAAGATTTTCAACAGTTAAACAATCAAGCGCAAATGCATGAATTGATACAATAGTCAGCCTATACATGCACCGCAATACATAAAACAAATTGTAAAATATATTCTTACGTACTAATTATGCATTACTTCTAAAATTAATTTGGTGTTCCATAATACATATGAACAGACTTGGCAAATCAAGCCCATGTGGACACCCATTCCCCCTAAATAGATTTGATACATTCGTTTTTCCTATCATTCTTAGAGGTAATGAATTCTAGTAGAGAAATCCAAAATTTTGAAATGTTTCAAATATTACTTCTTCAGCAACTAAAGGTACTATGTGATCCATATTATATGGAGTATGGACGGGAAAGTTCTACAGAGTAGACGTTAGACCGACCATGTTTTACGGGGCTGAGTGTTGTTCTATTAAGAAATCTCATGTTCAGAAGAAGAAAGTCGTTGAGATGAGGATGTTGAGGTAGATGTGCGGGCATACTAAGAGAGACAAGATTAAGAATTGAGATATCTGATACAAGATAGGAGTGGCCTCCATGTTGGACAAAATGAGGGAAGTGAGACTAAGTGAACATGTGAGGAGGAGGAGTGTAGACGCTCCAGTGAGGAGGTGTGAGCAATTGGTAGTGGAAGATGCCAGGAGAGGTAAAGGCAGGCCGATGAAGTATTAGGAGTAAGTGATTAGATAGAGTGCATCTGGATCTTACTGAGGACATGGTGTTAGATATGAGAGTATGGAGGTCGCATATTAGGGTAGAAGGTTAGTTGGTAATTAAGCATTCTCTCACTTCCCTGCGAGATAGGCTTTCAATGGTGTTCTTACCAGTAGTATTAGCACTACTCGTGTAGTTTCTTGTGCATTGATTATGCATTATTTTGTTTTCGTTACCGTTCTTTCTCTTGTTTGTCATGTAACACTTCCCATTTTGCATTACGTGTCGTTCTGATTGCTCCCATATTTTTATCCCACTTTTGAACTGTTTTGGCATGTTTATTTAAAGACGAGGGTCTTTCATAAGCCTCTCTATCTCTACAAGGTAAAAGTAAGATTTGCGTACATTCTACCCTCCTCAAATCCCACTTGTAGGATTGCACTGGGTACATTGTTGTTGTTGTTGGACATGGGTGGGCCTAGAGTATCGGGTGTAGGTTTTGGGGAATCCACTAACTTTTGTATTTTTATTGAAAAAATCTATTAAATATATAAAAACTATTTGTTGGGATCTACCAACAAAGTAAGCTCTTGCTCCAGCGGCATAATGGAACTTGCTTATGCTTTGTTGCCCTCCTCGTTGAGGGTCTGATTCCCTTTGACCACTTATAATAATTTTTTATTTTTAATTTGAGATCGTTGGGAGCCCATAAACTTCATATTCTAGACCCGCTTCTAAGTATGGCCTCATTTGTGAGTATGAATTTTATCAGTTGTACGAGAGTATCATTATAAGTACGTGCATTTTTCTTTTTTTGTTAATTTTTTTTGTGTATTTTAAAGAGTACACACAGCCACGACACACCCATTTCAACGGGTGTGTAATGCAAAGGACCGGTATAACATAGTATGTGAGGCACAAAAAGTAAGACGTCGGGAATACTAAGTCATAACCGGCCTGACGTAGGCTCTCCCTGACTTAACAAGTTGTTCATGTTGATTG